TTTGTTATTACTGTCAATATTATTATTATCAGGGGGAAATATTCTGTTTTATTCTGTTTTTTCTTAATCGGAAGAAGGTTGAATTTCTGAGTTTCAAAAAAGATAATAAAAAATAAAAACAATAGAGAATTCAGTGGAATAAAATAAGATGCTCTCATTAGGGTCAGTTAATCAAAAAACAAACCTTTAACTTCTTTAAAATTGCCCCCACGCGCTAAAAAGTTGTGGTATGTATTTGTGTTAGAAGTTATGTCTTTAAATATGACATTTGCCACAATTTTTCATCGTTTATGCCTAAGAAAGAGGAGCGAAGTATTTCAAGTGTCTTCTAGTTGGAGCACAGGCCTAAGCATTACCAAGGCAGCCTCTTTGGCGTCAGCTCCAGTTTATCAGTTTGCCTTTGGGCTGTTGCGTTCTTGCATGCGTGATTTTATTATGAGTAAAGAGCTGCTCGACTGGCAGAGAAACTGTGACTTTCCCACCCTCTGTATGCCACCTTACAGATTAGAAAGTACCCCAGCAGCTTTCTTCCAGCCTCCATCGATTAGATTCTGGCAAAACACTTAACAAACTAATGACTATTGATGGCTGATTAATATTGCATCGACAACAACCGATTGGCGACGAAATCAAATGGCGATTGCCACTTCCCATTCCAGCCGCCATGTGACGGGTTGGTGCGTAAAGCAGCCAGCTCCACTCCATGATAAATACACGGGGTTTGTAGGGGCCTGCAGTCTGCAGCGCGCTCACTTTATGGCTCCCAGTTCATCTAATTCGAGAGCAGCAGCCGCGTCTTTGAAGGCAGACACTTGGCGTAAATGTACAGTTAAAATATTCTATTCTCAGGTCCCCGGGCGGAGCTCCGACAGTCCCTGGCTTCATTAAAATTTCATCAGCATCCCTGTGAAAGAGGGAAATGTTCAGGAGGGGGGGAGAAAAATAAAACATAGGGGCGTAATTATGACAAAAGGAAACAGAGCTGCCCCTTCTTGTTTTGCAGAAAGCTTCCAATGTTGCATGTTTCTGTGTAAATGTTTTACTGTATGAAGCCAATGCTGAAAAAAATACCAAGTGCTGGAGATCAAAAAAGAGAGAGAGGGAGAAATATCACGCGGTTTTATATCGTGGGTGCTGGAGTCACATTGATTCGCTTTAGGAATAAATAAATACATGAAATCTGAATCGATTTTCGCCCAAACACGTGAAAGCGAAGCCAGCAGTCTGGTTGGGAATCTGCTCCTCTCTCCGCCTGAGCTCCGCCATGTCAACCAGCAGAGCGCCGGGATAAAGTTAATTTCAATTCCCGATGAGACCCTCACTCTGCAGCCCTCCCCTGACCAGCGGTAATTAACAGGGATGGCTAATGACTGCTTAACTGGCGCTTCATAATTATCTGCTTTTCATAAGTCGATGTGTAATTTAATAATTCGCTCTTATTAACGCATTAAGTGAGCTTCTCTTTTTTTTTTTTTTGGATGGGGGGGATTAGAGGGGCTCACCAGGAGCATCTTTAAACCGATGAACCATCAGCATCGTCTCATTAATAAGACCTCGTTCTGATTCCTCTTAATTTGTCACTAGGGTGGCGGTGGAGCATGTTTGGCTGGTGGCTGGTTGTTATGGAGACCTTATGATTAACAGATGGGAGATGTTACCATTAGATCTCACATTCCTGAATAGTTTTCAGCTGACATTATTATATAAATACATAATATATTATTATTATTATTATATGTGAATCTATGTCTATAATAGCACAGTATTGGATTTATGACCTGTAAGGATCTTAAAATGGCTAATATTACTTTAAACTGGTAGTAGTGGTAGTAGTAGTACTACATGGCTGCGTGACTGGGGGGAGATGCGGGGTTTATCAAACCGCCATAAAACATCATTGCCACCTTGGTGGCGCTGTTGAGCAATTTGCGCTCGTTTGCTATAGATGGAGAAACATTCAGGAATATATATGGAATATTCTAACTCACCAAAGATTTATCTCGTTAAAAAAAAAATAATAAAAAAAGACTGACCAACATTTCCCAACAACTCTGCACTACCCCACTACCCAGCATTACTGGGAAACAGTTTCTTTTTAAGAAAATGGTGAAGCAATCTGTCATTTTAACTATGTTACTCATTTTTCACCAATTGAGAACAAGTAAATATTGTCAGACGTTGGTTGCAACATTTGAATGAGTCTAGTTAAACTACAAGCCTGTGAAATTTGATATTTGAATGAGATCCATGGTGCTAAAACAAGTGCTCAGTAACTGAGCAGATTTCCTCTTTTAGAACTATTGCTAACTATAAAATTAGCATAAATAATTAAGTTTTCACTTTTAAAGTTTCATAACAACGCACATAAATACGTAAATAACCTAATAAATGCAAAGCCGATCACATGGAAGGGATTCACTTTACCTTTATAGACTTTGTTTTTTAATTATTAAAGTTCAGATTGTGATAATGCATTCAAAATGATGTTTTTCCCCGTAGAAATTGAGCTAAATAATATAAAAATTAGTGAGAAAAAATTTATTCAATTTCGAAATATTTTAACATCTAGTAGCATCATCTAATCCTCTAAGTAAATAGTTTTTAAATCTATTTATTTATGTGTTTGTTCTATAGATAAATGATGGCGATATTTGGCCCTTGCCTCTTTTATGGAGCTGTCCTTGGTGCTGAAACGCTTGTTCGGCGCTAAGTCAAGGCGCCCTAAAGCCCAATTCCAGCAGCTCTGATATGGACATGACATTCAAAATATCTCTTTTTTTTTTTGTCCTCCCCTCCTCCTCTCCATATCTAAGCATAACTTCGAACCAAAAGGTTTTGCTTCAAAGCCTGAGCGCGGTGGAGGCATGATGTTTGACTGCGCATTCAAATAGAGAGACGGGCGCGTTGGCAGGCGAGCTGTTTTTCTGGCGGGCTGACATCTGGCAACTCTGTGCTCCAGGGACCCATCCAGCTCTCCACAGACCCCCTGATTAAGCTCTAATAGAATATTAGCATTTGCTCTCAGGTAAAGGCAACAGTGAGCCGCATATGAGCTCCTGGCTGGCTGCGCGTCACCGCAGGAGCCACGTGTGTCTTTAACACTGATGCAGCCGGGAGAAAGTGGCCCTTGTTAAGAGCCCCGGAGGATAGTGAGAAGGCAAAAAAAAAGAAGAAAATTTTAATTAGATTTTCTTTTAGGCTGCATATTCAGTCGAGACTATGATATTAAAGATATATATATAAAAAAAGAAAACATGGATTGGACATGCTTATATGTTTTCTTTAAACCAATAGTCACGATTTGGTTAAACTTAAAAAAAAAAAAGTTTAATATTCGCTCTAAAATAAGCACAGACCATTCAAAGCTGCTTTTAAAAGCTGCATATCCCCCCTCAGCTAAAGCCTTTCCCTCCTCCTCATCAATAAATAAGCAGCTGAATAAATAAAAAATTCTAATATGTCTGCAAGAGTCCCTTCACACAGTCAAATCACGGAAAAAAACCTCGGATAAAATGTTAAAATTTGTTCTTTAATGAAACACATATTGCAGTTCAATAATTAATAAATTAAAATTACATGAATGAAATAAATAATTAGAAATATTTAACCAGGGAAACAAACAAATAAACAAAAAAAAAATTATAAACAAAACATTACATAAATAAATTACCTCAGCTAAACAGCAATACAGCAAAAACCTGTACGGATATATTTATGTGCATCGACTGATTCCAATGAAAATATTTACATTGTACACGTATACTTACATGAAGCAGTTTCTTTTTCTCTTCAAGGAAAAAAATAAAACATTAAAACATGGTGATTCTTTTAACAAGCAACGATTCCATCATGACGCGCGCATATTTATACAAATAAACAGCAGGGAAATTGAAATAAAGACATACATAAAATAATAATTTAAAGGATAATTTAATCTCATATATATATCGATTGTGCCATCTTAAAAAAAATCGTCAAATCTGAGACTGTTATTTTCTTTTTAAACTCCATCTCTTCCCTTTAAAGCACAACAACAAGCTGAGCTGCTGTCAGAATTAGATTTTTCTCAAGCTAAACAAGGAGGTGTGTGTGTGTGTGTTTGGGGTGGGGGGGATTCCCAATAAATATATAATGAAGTAAACATGACCTCACTCAATAAATAGTTCATAAGACAGCCGGCCCACGCTGGAGGGGAAATGAAACATGGCCACTAAATTGAAAATATATTTTAGTCTTTTATTACAATATTCTGCAGAGATGTTTCTCTTTTAGCCACGAGGCCTTAAAAACAACCATGTTAGAACTTTAACTCCAGGAAAAGATCCCTGATTTATAGAAATAAAAACAAGTGGAAGGAATAACAAGTTTAGACAGAAAATGAAGTGTTTGGTGATAATTTACAGAAGGTTATTTGGCAGTAATCTAATCTCAGCTCTCAGAACCAACTGTCCGCTTAATCCCCCCATAGACCTGAATTAATGTCAGACTGCATTGTCATGAACTCCAAGGGAAGAAAATCTGCGACACTAACCAAGTGCTTTGATTAAAACAACCTCGTTCTGCGTGGAAATAAATAAAACTGCTGCTAATGTTGGGAAATAATGACAATCAGCGTTTAAAAGGAATAGAGATAAAAACCGCAGCAGCAGCTCTGAGTGCGCTGCGTTAAAAAGGTGAGGCATAGTAAGTGGAAACAGTGGTTCTTACTTGATCCGTCAAACGACGCCTTATTGACTCCTCGTCTCCCTCTGACAGAGTCGTGGTGGGTGTTTGAGTTTTTTCTTTTTTCAGTCATTGTTCCTCTTTAGTTTTTTTTTTTCTTTTCGTTTTTTAAAGAGTCTGATGATTGAAAAAGAGGGCGTGAGTTAGGAAATATAATACAAATCATTTTCATCAGTTCCAAGTCTTTTGTGTGTTTATTTTTTCTTGTTTTGAATTTTTTTTTTTTTTTTTAGACGCATGCTGAGTATTTCATTCGTTTCTGTTTCTGCCGCTGGTTGCAGAACCAGACCCGCACCACGTTCTTTTTCAGGTCCAGCTTTTCAGCAATCGCTGCGATTTTCTCCGAGGAGGGACGCGGTTGGATGGCGAAGTAGGCCTCAAGCGAGCGCTTCTCCGGCGCGGCTATCGACGTGCGCTTCCTCTTCTTCTCCGCGCCGTTGAACAACTCGGGCTTGTTAAGTTTCTCCCTGTGTGATTTCTCGGCTTCCTCCAGCCAGGCTTGCAGGATGGGCTTCAACGCGATCATGTTGTTGTGGGACAAGGTGAGGGACTCGAAGCGGCAGATGGTGCTCTGGCTGAGGGAGCCCACTCCGGGAATCTTAAGGCTGGCTAAAGCTGACCCCACGTCCGCCTGGGTGACCCCGAGTTTGATCCTTCTCTGCTTAAACCTCTCCGCGAACGCTTCCAAGTCCCTGGGATCGGCGTCCACGTCGTTCATGCCCATGTGCGGCGGCAGCCCGTGGGCATGAGCCATGTTGATGGCCGCCTGGTGCATGTGGTTCATGCCAGCCATGTGGGCAGGGTGCGCAGGCGTGGAAACCACCGAGCCGTCCGGCCCTGCCATGGCTCCCAGCGCGAGTCCCGGGGTGATGTGGTCCAGCAGGTCCCCCTCCAGCGCCTGGTGAGGCTGGTGATGGTGGTGGTGATGGTGGTGATGATGGTGGCCAGCCAAAGCGGACGGATGAGAAATAGGCACCGAGGATGATGAGGAGGAAGAGGAGGTGCAGGGCAGAGTGTTCATTGTGTGGTAGGTCGCGTCAGGCTTGAAGGGGCTGTGATGTGGAGGGTGGTGGTGGCTCTTGGTCTGCGAGACGATATCCACCGCCGCTAGAGCTTCAGCCCGGGCCAACAAACTCTCATCCAAGCCTCCGAATATATTGCTCTGCAATTGCAAATAGAATGCACACATAACTGTCAGCAGGGAATTCTCCCTCCACTCCTCGGTTTAAAACATTTCCAGAATGAGGGGAAAAAAAAGAAATCCAAAAAAAAAAAAGGGGAGCACACAAAACAAGACACATGCAACATCCCAGGTCATAAAAATTTATACCAAAGGCAAAGCCTACTGAATACATAAGTTGAGCAGAGGAAGAAAAAAAACATGGAGGTGTTGGGTGATTTGCTGTGCAGACATAAAAAAAACATCAAGCAGGAAAAAAAAGTGGGCTGTCAAAATGTGCCTTTAAGCAGTGATTATGCAGAATACGTACCGGTGGGGTTGGGAGACAAGCTCTGCGCATCACCTCGGAGCTGCTGCTGCTGCCGCTGCTGCTGATGATGGTGCTGCTGCTGTGGCGGGAGGACGAGCAGGAGGACGAGGGCGCGTTGGAAGTCAGAGTGGAGGACGAGGACGAGTGCAGAGAGTACTTGGGTTCGGGCAGGCTGGTGTGGGCCATGGTGAAAGCCTGCTTGCTGTTCAGAGACATCATCATCATATTTGCTGGCGCCCGAACCTCCGAAAGTTCCTTTTTAATAAGTTAAGACTCCGCCTCCTCGGCTCGGAGTTCAAGTCCAATAGCTTGGCAGGAGTCTCAAGTCGCTGTAGAGTTAAAAAAAAAAAAAAAAAAAAAACGTTCAGGCAAAAAACAAGCGTTCCGACACCGAGTCACATTTATTTCTGCTGAGTGGAGCGCTGCAGCTGAAGCCCCTTCCTTTCTGGACATGTGGCGCGATCTTCAAAAATAACAGCCTTTCTCCATCAATCTCCGACAGGTTGTTTTTGGCAAATATTATTTTTGTTTTGGTTCTTTTTTTTTTGTGATTTTTTTTTAAACATAAAAAAAAACAAGTAAAAAAAAAACAGCTGCTCCTCACAGATGCCAAAAAAAAAAACTGCAAATCAAAAGTTTCTCTTCGGGATTTCCAAAATATTTGCAGTTAGAAGTCGCTATTCTTGCTCTTTATCGGTAATTTTAGTTTTTAAAAAAAAATCCGTGTGGAAAACTGCGGAAGGTCTTGGTGACTGTACCTCTTCGACTCGGTTGAATGCTGCGGGGACCCAAACTGGCTGCGCTCTGAGGCGAAGGGCAGACTGAGTCTCTCTCTCTCTCCCTTCTCTCTCACGCACACAGACGCCCTCCCTCTCCTCCACTCTTCGTCTCTCTCTCTCTCTCTCTCTTTCACACACACACACACACACACACACTCCTCTCACAGCTGCACCTGAAAAACCCTTTCATGATTTATTATTCTTCATTAGCCACACCGCCGCCGCCGCTGGGGACTGTGCGCATGGGCAGTCTACAACAAGGCATTTATTTCCAATGATTCTACTTCATCACCAACACCTCGTTACCAGCAGCTCTTCTAATGAGCCACAGCGAAGTTTTTTCCCCAATAAATTCATTCTTTGTGCTCTGAAGAAATATTTTTTTTTTTCGTTAAACCTCGGAAAGCAAACAGAGAAGTAACTAAAATTCAACAATAAGAGCAAATATATTTTCTATTTTTTAAATTTTCTTATTTTATTGCATTGTATGGATTGTATTTTACCGTAAACAACCAAAAGGAAACTAATTTTTCAAAAAAATGCTGTAGTCACAAGTTAAATTTGATTTTCTTCATCTCTTTCGATTTAAAAAAGCAAACATCAAAATAAACTTTGAATATTTTTCCCCGTGTCATCCTAGAATTGCACCTTCCTTTACAGCTATAAAGCATGAAACCCAACTTTGATTTAAAATATAACCATAATAAAAACCATCTACTTTAAAACATGAATATTCCTGTCATAGCGGGCTATTATCTTATCTCTACGCTAATTAAGACCACATTATCTGTAACGTAATTACAATATTTAATCAGGGCGTAATTAACTAGAAGTGTCTAAGTTGTTTAAGATGATCTGCAGGGTGATCGAGTTACAACGTGTCAGGAATAGAATAATTCTATATTTAATTTATCATTTAAATCATTTGAATTCCCATGTAAACAAATCTCTATATTTCGTTAGTAGTATTTTTATTTTAATGGAAAGCATCTGCCCGCATCCTCTGATGTTTTTATTATAGATATTAGAGATCTTACCAGTTTAAACACACTTTTTATTCTAGTTGTATTTTATTTGTTTTTATTTACTCTTATATTTCATTGCGTTCCGCTCTTTTGGTGAGATCGGCATCTACTTAGTGATGATTTAAAGCATACCAGAGCAAATATCGCAGCTCCTGATGCAGTCCATGCCTTCAGTATAACACTGGCAGAGAAAATGTGCTGAGATTCTGTTGGCTTCTGCAGAGAAACACTAGATCTCACTCCCACAGTTTCCCTTCCATATACAGATATAGTGAATTTCCTCACAGCTGCATTGTTGGATTGTTGGTGCTGCCAGAGCAGATCCAGAAATGCTCTCCAGCAGCAGCGAGACACGGTTACCCCCAGTGGGACAAACAGGCTCTGCTGGAGCCACCTTAAGAAATGGGGGTGAAATGGGGGCTGCTGGAAGGTGGGGGGGTGATCAGGGCTCCGGAGACATCAAGGAGGGATCAGCGTCTGTTCACATCTACCGACAAGACTGATTTATGATGAAACTTTAAAGGAATCATTTATATTTCACCACCTCTAAATCGGTGTATGAAATTTTCATTCACAATGAAACACAAAAAAAGTATATCTTAAGTCAAATAAATCAAGCCCCGGCTTCTTAAAAGCAATTGGCTTTGAAGCATAGCCGATTCTCCAACACTTTCCTTGGCAGGTATATAGTAACCCCCCCCACCCCCATCCTAAAGGCTTTTGCATCCTTTGCCAACAGTTTTCTCACGTTTGAGGGAGGACATCATGTCTGAATGTTTTACAGGATTACCTCTGAACGGTTTGTCATGGCGAAAAAAAAAACACAGGTACACCACACTGTTCACCTGGAGTCAGAAATCTAAATGTGGAGTCTAAAAGTATTCACCCCCTCGAAGTTTTTTATTTTGTGTAGCCTAATAATCCAAAACAAAATTGCAGTTGAGTTTGTAAAGGTGAAGTAGCAACTATGTACATACATATAAATATACGTATATA